AAATGTCTCTTGGCTTTGCATAAAGCTGCTACGTTTGATGAGCTATGCATACTATACTACTTATGTACATGTCTTCATACATGGAGAAAAAACTGTTTAAATTAAATACAACATTAGATCCCTTATTACACTGTGGGCCGTTTGAAACGACATTGTATGGGCTAGATTGTTTTTGGCTCTCTCTCTTAAATTACTCTAAGATATCATTTAGATGGGCTTCTTTCTTTAAAAAACTGCTTTTTTTAGCGGGGGGAAATAGTGCTTTTATAATTTTTTTTGATTGTTTGGATGTAAACTTAAAAGAAAAAAAAAAGCCAATAAAAAAGGAAAAAGTATTCTAAAGTTATTTCCAGAATTTCAGTGAACCCAAAATGACGTCGTTTTGGTGTTGCAAGATTAAAAAATTATAATGATAAAAACTAATATAACCCGGCAATAAATTAAAATTAGAAAAATATCTTGATTTTTGTCACAAAACGATATCGTTTTGTGCTCATCAGAGTCCAGAGATAACTTATCTCCATTGACTGAAAAAATGTTTTACCCTAAAAAAAATAAAAATGTGACTTTTTGAAAAAAAAGTTAAAATTTGTTATCACGAAGAACCACGGTAACAAAAGAGAAATTAGAAAATGACATAATAGTCATTTTATACTTAAAAAAAACTTTTTATTTTAACATTCAAATAACATTTTTACTTAAAAGCATTTTTCAAATATTAAATTCAAATGCAAAATAATTTTAGCTTTTAAAAAAAATTCTTTTAAAAAATATAACTCATAAGTAATCCTTTTTTCATAAGTAATCCTTTTTTCAAAAGCTCGTTCAAACGGCCTAAAGCGGTTTGGCTTGTTCTTTTCCGTTTATAGAGTGGTTGTTTGCCGGTCCAGTTTATGGGTTCATTGGACTAGACATATGGTACATTCACCAATTTCTCTATTTAATTTGTCGATTCAATCCAATCTTTTCCCCCACTGCAAAAAAATCCAATTTCAAACGTGCTTAAACATTCATATGACGTTTGCGAAAACTGTGTTGCTAACATAGTTTACTTGCATTTCATACATTATACATTGTTATATAGGAAAAATGTTTATCCTTTTAAATGATATAATTTATATCTTTTCACTCTCACAAAAAGGTGGGAGACACATTTTTATATTTTTTTGTCAACTCTCTCTCCTCCTTTGTCTATCTCTTTACATCCTTTAAAATGACGCAATTTTACATCCTTTGAAATGACACAATTTTACATCTTCAAAATGACACAACTTTACATCCTTTAAAATGACACACACTTTTTTCTTATTATATTTTGTTGGTCTTGATTCGCTTTGCGTAAACAATTTTTCAGATCCGATTTCATTGGGAAAAAATATTTTAGTCATGTTACATGGTTTCATCTTTCATGTGTAGGATCAATTCGATGTTAGGAACAATGTTATCAAATCTAAGTGGTTAAAGTTGTCATCAAGAAAAAGAAAACGAGTAAAACATGTCAAATAAAGTTACAAATCAACCTTGATCATAGAGAAATACAAACTCGAGACAAAGTGTATTTTTTATCTCCTTGTTAGGCATCGTGTTTACGTTCCATTGCCACAAACCACACAATGACCCGCAAGCATGTAAATAGTGAGTCTTGTAACAGCCTAATAGATCATTGTGCTCCCCATTTACCTTTGACTGTTTTCTTTTGATAGCGCCAAATATGGTGCAAACACTCCCGCCATATATTGCAGTTCTACTCCCACTAATGGCTGGATTGCGCCAATGCCAAATAAAATAGATTGCTAATTGTGAAGTGCATGCTGTGGTCAAAATTACCTTCTTCCATTTAGTATCATATTTCAAAGACTAATGTCCACTTTTTAAAGAGACAGGTCCATACAGTCTTTAACTCAACATATTAGGAACTCATTTCCTAGTGTGTGTGTGTGTCTATATATATACTAAACAGAGTAAGCAGACCAAATGGGAGTATGCACCAACAATAATAGCCGAGAAAAGCATAAATCATGCTGGGCTCTAGTATAAGTTATTGCCCTTCTTTTCTAATCAAATCATTCTCGCCAAACACAGCATGTATGTATTGTGGGAATTAGCATGTCATGTTTAACCAAAAATTGAATTTATTGACTTAAGAAACAGTGTCTTCGATGATGTAACATTATAATTTGGTGGGAGTTTAATATAAACTATATAGCCTCTTGATACAAAATGGTTCCGGCCGACAGAGAGTTAGGCATCAGGATTATCCTAATCGTAATAACTTTGAATAACTATTTAAAACTTAAAATATATAGATGAAAGCTATGATTTGAATTATGATTTGGTGGGAGTTGAACTTGAATATGACGAAGAATCTTTATCCCTATGTCATAATTTAGATAAGCATATACTATCATATCCGTTCGGATGCCCACAGATTTTTGCAAAAAAGCAGTCATTTCTTTTGTTAAAACTATGCGAAGGGATATACTTATAACCTTAAAGTTTTATAATCTCTCGTCATCAAATTTTAATAGTTGATTTTTGTCAATTTAATAATTAAAAATTAATTAATAAATATGACTCAATAAATTATAACCGTCAGATTAACGGAAATCAACGGTTAAAATTTAATAATAAAATGTTGTAATTATATCCTTCCTCCTTTCACATATATTATATGTTTGTCCTGATTTATTGGTCGGAAACTGACAAGTAGTTTAGAACCAAGATGGACCTCTTTTGAATAACTATTGATAATAATCACGTGCATTCTAAACATGCTTCGCCGTGGATGCTAGCCAATAAAAGTGTTTATCACACTTAATAATTAGGAGATGAATCCACTCACGTGTAATTTAACATGATTATGTCATGTGGGAGGATCTTAACCATTAATAATTAAATCAACGGTGATGATTGTGTAATTTCCTATTCTTATATTTTTTTTTTCTCCTCCCTTATCACCATTAACTCCCTCATGTATGGTTATAATTGCCCCACATGACATGATCATGTTAATTAACACATGAGAGGATCCACTTCTTAATAATTATGCTCTTTGAGTTGTACATTTTTCTTGCGGTCAAAATCGAAACATCGACCAAATAGTGATAGCTTAATTGGTAATAAAAAAATTAAGTAAGTAGAAAAAAAAGATTAGTCTTATAACCAATTCAAATAGTCAATGTTTTTGAGAATACTATAAAAAGTCAACTCACCCTAAAGAAATAATTAGGATCAGATTATCTTAAAATAAAAATAGAATGACATAGAAAGAACAAACTCCAAACATAAGCGATACATCAAGTTATGAACTCAGCAATTATTTTTTTCAACAAAAATTAAATTCGATTCTGTTAAACCGAATTTCTTTTACTTTTTTTTTTTTTTGTTTCTGACGACCACAGTTTATATGAACATATGTCAAATTCTTTTAGAAGTAAAAATTACGTATTAACACAAAATAACCACCGTTCAAAGTCAAAATAGTACTATTTAATTATTTTTGGTAAATTAATGATCATATGTATTTTAAAAGGAACTTAACTTAATTGTATTATCAAGAAAGAAAAAAACAACTCTTATGAATTCGTTCATTTTTTTTTTAAGCCCAATTCTAACTGATCTATTTATTATACCCTAAATACGTATCTTTTCATTAAGAAATTATTCTGTAATTTTTATTTGTCTCCGTTTCAATTTTATGACCACTTGCCCTCTGCATATTTTGTAAAATACTAGTAGATAATGAATGTTAAGGCTAAATGCCTAAATATTTTGACAAATCTGATTTGAAAAATTTCGCAGATAGTACCCAACTGTTTGTCTTGTCATCTTCACGATTAACGAAGTTGAATAAAAATAATCTGTGTCATGTAAGTTTTAAAACCGCTACAAAAATTTGCAGAAGCAGCTCATTTCAAATCTACCAAGTGATTGCTTATCTTTTTTTTTTTTTTTAGCACAATGTGACTGCTTATCTTTATATATTATAATTTTGTCCTTTGTCTTGTTCATTTTGGCAAATCTGATCTGATTAGGAAAATATCAACATAGCTGTGCTGTTTGGTTTTCGTGTGGACTGGATGTTGGCCTCGTTGCTATTTTTATTCTGTGTCTAAAATCTCTGATTTCCTGCCTTTTGCGCACTGTGGTGGAGTTGGTGACATTCTGTCATGCACGTTTATCTTGAATGATTGATATTCCCGACCCCTATATATATGTGGACCACGTAACCTGACAACGATTTTCTTTCAGTTTGTAGAGAGCCCGTTCCCATTTTCAGAAATTAATCACACCCTAACAAATTAGGTTAATTAAGGGGTAATAATGACGGGGAAAACTTTAACTTATACTTCCATAATTCCTGTGTTTTTTTTTTTTTTATGTATTGAAACTTGGAGGGTATACAGTCCATTTGTCTCTTCAAAATTCTGATAAGTCAAAACTGGTTCATGTGAATGAAATTCAAAGTTAATATATTTTGAAAACATATTCGCATGACTAATTATTACTTAATCCTATGATTAATTTATTCACCATTTCAATAACACTTGGCCTGTAGTCAACACGATGCAAAGATGTCCACTTGCTAATGAAGTATTTAATTAGTTGATCCTTCAATATTTCACTAATGTTTCTGTTTCATACAGCGATGTTGCATTGTTTATTTATTTTACAATTGTCATCAGAAAGAAAAAAAAGTAAAAAGGAATACACAAACAGAGACTTGATGATCCACATTCCTTATATATTTGGAATTTACTCAGTCATTGAATATATATGCTACAATCTACAAAATAACTAATGAGGGCGGCTTTCAATTTTCATGCTGTCCTGCACTCTGATCTAATAAATTATTATATATAATTGGCAAATGGGCATGTCGATTGGTCAAACCACTTAGCTGTACTCGTTTTTGTTGCGGATCTTTTTCTATTCGTCCAAAAAATCGTAGTTGGTACGTAATTGTCCATTTATTGAACTAGTCTTTTGATTCATTATTGTATACACAATTCAAAATAATTAATTTCCTCCGGAAATTGAAGAATAACAATAAAGGAAAAAAAAAAAAAACTCACGCATGCTTCCATGCAACGACAATTAGTAATTTGTAACACACAACGTAACAATTAAGCATTCTTCAGAAAATATCTATTTACAGTAGTATGACGTATGTGTCTGCTAAGCTATGCTTTCTTGCCTTTGTGATTCAATGAAGGCGTCAGGTGAGCTTGACTCACTTCTTCTACCATTTCGGTGTTCATCATTATGTGACTGTGAGTTTGGTGACTTGGGCGATCTAAGTGGATGCTTATGGCCATTGTGGCGATGGTGACTCCTGTGATGGTGTCCATTATTTTCCCTCTTCCTCTCCTTGGGTGCTTCATATTCTTTAGCATCTGTATGCACTTCATTATTATCAGGATTCTTATGGCCAGGGTGACTCCGGTGATGATGATGACCATTCTCCCTCTTCCTCTCCTTAGGTGTTTCACTTTCTTTTGCATCTTTATGCACTTCATTATTATCAGTTGGAACCGTGTAAACAAAGGGTCCAATTGGAATCTCATCAAAATCCTCTAGAGGCTCAAGAGTCTTGACCACTGTTGTCATTGAAGGTCTATTCCTTGGCCTGTGGCTGAGGCATTGATAAGCCAATGCAGCTGCTTTTCTTGCCCCCATCTCAGAATACTGACCATCAAGTCTTGGATCCATTATACGGCAAAGTTTCCTTGAATCATTCAGTACTGGCCTGGCCCATTCCACTAGGTTCTGCTCTCTTTGTGGGCGCCCCTTGTCCACTGACCTTCTCCCAGTTATCAGCTCTAAAAGGACAACTCCAAAGCTATACACATCACTCATAGCTGTCAAGTGTCCTATATGAAGAAAAAAAAAGATTTGAGTTAGCTATGAATTATGCAGTTCAAATTAATCATGTGTCATTGTCTATTAGTATTAATATAAAATTGAATTAGCTAGTTAGAATTAGTAAGTAAATTTACCTGTCATGATGTATTCTGGGGCCGCATAGCCTTGGGTGCCCATAACTCTAGTTGAAACATGTGTGTCATCTCCTTCGGGACCATCTTTTGCCAAGCCAAAATCAGAGAGCTTTGCATTATAGTCCTGGAAGAATAAATAATGGGAGTGAGTTAAAATAATTGTTGAACTTGAAGCGGGTTCAAAAGAGGATGAAAGGGATGCTTACAGCGTCTAACAAGATGTTTGAAGCTTTGAAATCTCTATAGATGACTGGTTTCTTTGCTTCATGCAGAAAGGCTACACCCTTTGCAGCTCCAACAGCAATTTTCATTCTTGTTGACCATGGCAATGAAGCCGAGTATCCTGTAATTCCCACACAAAAAAAATTGTTTAATACTTTAACGCTATGCAAAGTGAAAGAATAAGACGGTCATTGATATATTTTAAACAGAAATCTTACTTCTAAATAGCTGATTCTCTAAGCTGCCTCGTGGTAAATACTCATATACAAGTAGCCTGTGTTCTTCTTCACAGCAATATCCAATCAGCTTCACAAGGTGTGGGTGCCTTAGTTGACCCAGAAACACAACTTCAGTCTGTCGTCGTCAGCATAATTGAAAAGCAAAAGGAGAGGTCAGAACTCGAAGAACTCAAAAGCACTTATTACGAAAAAGATTCTAGCTAGATAATTAAAGAACTCAGAAGCAATAATTTTTATAATTAAAACATGGGGAAGGCATTAATCATGTTTGGTTGAAAAAGTACTCACCAACCACTCTTTATGACCCTGAGAGCCATCCAAGTCCAAGAGCTTAACAGCTACCGGCTGAGCCTTGAGACCAGGCCTGAGCTTGTCATCAATGAACCCCTTATGCACGGGTCCGAACCCTCCTTCTCCGAGAAAGTTACTCGAGGAGAAGCTCTGGGTGATAATCTTGAGCTCAGCGAGTGAGAAAACATACAGGTTAGAACCTGCTAGAGAAATGGAAAGATCCTCTGAAAGCGTGCCGGCGCTTGGAAAACTCAGATCCGTGACAGAGATCCGGTTAAAAGAACTACTCTTTGTGGCCGCCACTTTCTTGGGCTTGGGTGAGGGGTACTCGCCCTTATAACAACTGGGGAAGAGCGATCTCCATGTGATTTTCATTACGCGCTCTGCTACGAAAGAAAATGTTTTCTGTAGTGACTTTTAGTTGAGACTTGAGGAGGGAGGCTCGGGAAGGCGAAGAGAATATATATTAGATGGGAAGAGAGCTGACGTGGTACAATGGTAAATGGGAGAGGCAGAGTTCAAAGTAAAACAGCTCCTTTTCTTCTCTGAAGGCTGGCCCTGGGGTTGAATTTTTCCTCTATTTTTTTTTTTTTTTTATTAGTTGTCTAGGTTTTATGATGCATAGAATTATTCTACTTTTTATATATATATATATATATATATATATAGGGGTTTGTTCTTTGGAGAGAGAGAGAGAGAGAGAGACGTAGTTGTTCTTTGGCGAGGTTTGAATAGACCAAAGATTTGAAGGAATTTGGATATTTGATAAATGTGGAACCGAGTAAAATTTGAAGTCTAAAAAACAGCGTTAATAGAAACAAGGCTACCCATCCTTGACTTTTAGCATTATGGCGATAAATAATTAACTATATGGAAAAGGAACTTTGGAACTTTTATATTGGATAAAAGCACCTTCGACAATGCTTCCTTTCATTTTATTTTATTTTTCTGAGATATTTTAATTAATTTATCACTTAGCTGACTTTTTTTTTTAACACGAGTTTTTGTTTGTTTATGCGCAATCTTGACCTTCAAAAATCGAACGAAACACACGAGAGAAAAAAATAAAAATAAAAAAAGGGACAGTCCAGACCCTAGCTAATTTCACTATACAGCAGAGGGTAATTTGATCAAACAAAGTTTTTTTTTTTTGTTTTTTTTAATACACAAAAAAAAAAAAACAATGTTTGTTTCAACTGAGTGTCTTGGAACTTCAGATTCAGAATAATGAAAATAGAAAATTCGGTTGATGTTCTTGCATCATTAGTTTAGTTGGGTTAGTTTCTACGTCAAATATCAAATGGTAAAAGAACATTTAAACAAATATAAGTCAGAACATGCTTCTGAAACAAAATCAAATATTAAGTTTGGATCAATTTTTTTACTAAAAATAATAGGGGAATGATATTGTAACAACCAAGTTGTGTCACTACCAATCAATCTTACCGTTAGATAAATTATGTCGATCCAACGGTTATATTTATTTCCATCTTTGTATGGTCATGATTTCTCAAATTTAATATTTTATATTTATTTTCAGCTTTGTATGGTTATGATTTTTCATATTTAATGTTTTCACTTTAAATATGGGAAATCATAACTATACAAAGATAGAAATAAATATAACGGTTGGATCAACATAATCAATCTAACGGTGAGATTGATTAGTAGTAACACAACTTGGTTGTTACAATATCTTTTCCAAAAAAATATGCTTTGCCCGCCGAAAAAAAATTACTTTTTTTAGGTAAACAGTAAACACATTAGATCGTTTGTGTTTATTTTAAGAAAGAAAATCGCAAAATATGTATAATTTTTTTTAATAATCAAAAATAAATTTTTAAAAGTAAATTCCTACAAAAGAAATCAAAATTCTTACAAAAGAAATCATTTTGATATTTTTATTATAAGATTGAAAAAAGTAACTTACGAAAAAGAAAAAACACTACAAGTGTAAAATCACCTATAAATATGAATAAAACAAATATTATGTTTCCGGGCAATTATAAACCCAAAAAAAGTATAGTTAGAATTAACTGTTCATCTTTTTTCACGAGTCTTATGTTAAGTGGGACCAATCACCAATGACCGGCGGTGGTTCAGAGTTCAATCATTGCACGGGCGTTAGGTAGTTCGATGTTCACCCCAGAACATTTTTTCTGTACCAAACACCCTAAAGAGACAACAACTAAATGTAATTTTTCTTTGCAAAAATATTACTCAGATGCTAAGTTCCAAAAAATTTTTGTCAAAAATATTATTCAAATGCTAAGTTTGTGGCGGTGGACAGAGTCCAGAGACCTGTTGTTTCTAAACAGCAAGTCTTACCACACTGTGTTACATGGCATAATTTTGTCGGGTTTACCATTGCATCTCACAGTAGTGGAAAATACAAAAAGATTGGAAGGCACCTCATATTAATTATGTATTAATTAATTATATAAATAAATGGGATAAATAAGAGTTATGTTGTAGGAAAAATAATTTGGTTATGTTAAGATAAGACAAAACAAAATCATTGAACAAAGTGTCTTGTCATATTTTTTTATTATTATTATTTTTTGTCTTTTAGTGTTGCATGACATCATGTAACATGATAAAATAAAGACCTAAATAAATTCATATTACTTGTTACATGGTGTTAAGAACCTTGAGGTCACCACCCTAAAAGCTAGCTCAAAGGGTGGGAGTGCCCAAGGCCTTATAAAGGCCACATTAGTTGCACATCTAACCAATGTGAGACTATATATCTCAACACGCCCCCTCACGTAAGAGCCATTTGGGCTAGAAGCGTGGATTATGCACAGGCCCAATTTTTGGTTTACCTTTTGTGCTTTTTGTTTTTAATTCCACTTTAAAGTGGGGGACGGTGAGGCTCTGATACCATGTTAAGAACCTTGAGGTCACCACCCTAAAAGCTAGCTCAAAGGGTGGGAGTGCCCAAGGCCTTATAAAGGCCACATTAGTTGCACATCTAACCAATGTGAGACTATATATCTCAACACATGGGATATCTAAAAACCATAAATTATTACTTTCTTAAGATAATATAAAAATATTAATAGCTGAAGGTTGGATTGTGAAGCTGCCATACAGTATTTTTTATTTTCTTTCCCATTAATTCACATTAACATGCATCTTCTATAAGTCATGTTAACATATATTCTCCCACCTTTTCAACTTCGACAAGAGTCATCTCTTTTCTAAGAGTCGTAATAATTTCTCCCACCTTTTCCTACCAATTTTATTTAACTATTATTTGTACCACCAATTAATTAACAAACCTTCTTTTGTCAATTGATCAATTCCCAGTAGAAAAACTCTTTTTTCTCGAATTTTTTTTTGTTAATAGACCTTTTATTTGCCAATAATTTAAATTTAAAATTGAATAAAAACTAAAAAAACTCAATCAACTTTAAACTAATTTATCAGATAAAATAAGATTTGATTGAATTTATATTTTAAATGAATTTTATTAATAATATTATAAAATAAGTAATTGGATTTGATTAATTAATTTTTTTCTCTTAAAATTTTTATACTATAAATCTGTTTGGATCCTCTCTTTTTTAAATTAAAAGCAATTTATAAGTTAAAGTAATAAAAAAAACTTAAAAAAAGCTAAAAGCTATTTGGTGGTTATATAAAAAAAATTAGCTTAAAAAATACTTAAAAACACATATTTTAAAAAAATTCTCTCTATCTTTATAGTTATTCATTTAAAAAAAGTACACAATTTACTCAAAGTTGATAAGAGCTTAAAAAAAGAGTTTTTGACTTTCATTTTTTTTTATTAGAAAAAAAAAGAGTTTTTCAATATAAGAATTTTTTCAAAACTTATTTGGCCTACTTTTTGTTTATAAATATCTAACTTGAAAAAAAGAAAATCCAAAGGGGCACTGTATCAAGAAAGTGGTCATTGGTAGTTCTTAAGATTTCTCATGCAATAAATAAACTCACTCAACCCATACAATTAATTAATGGAGTTTGTTTTTTTCATGATATATGAGAAAACAAACTTTTCTTACACACATCATAAAAAAGTGTCACTCTTTTTTTTATTTTTTAAATAAGTGAGTCTCACACTTAATATATCTATGATACGAGATTAAAATTTTCCTACAACATAAAATTTATTTTTTCCTTAATTAATACATAATTAATGTGAAGTATCCTCCAAATTTTATGTGTTTCCCATTATTGTCGGACCCAATAGTAAAACCAATAAAATCATGCCAGTCGTTCATGACAACAGATCTCTATCCAATGTGACAAGTGGCAAGCTGAGACTAATAATAGGTTATAAAATGTGACATTTCAGAAGAAAGAAAAAATTCTAAATCATGATACGTGGATAATATTTTTGCCAAAAAAAAATGACATTTTGATTGTTGTGCTAAATATTTAAGCCTAAAAAGGTTTTTATAAAGAGATAAATAAAGAGAAATTGAAAAGTTATGTTACAGCAACATAATTTTTTTCTACATATATATATAGAAAACAACATCAATTTTTTTCTTTTAAAAAAAAAAACGCTACGGACCCCACAGACATTGTATTTGTAGGAATTTGAAAGTTTTTTCTGTAACATTACGGACATAAACCTCATAAATAAAAGAAGTTGATGTATTCTCAATTGTTTGGACTCGGTTTTTGTGTGCGGGTTAGAATCCTGATATGAAAACCGCATGCTGGGGAACTGAGGACAATTTCGTCAATCAGGGAGTAGGTACTAGGATTTTCAATTTTGGGGCAAGGGAGGTGCATTCAACTTGTCATTTCATCTCTCTCAGAGTCAATGCGCGTTATTTCAAAGAAAACAGTAAATTAAAGGTTTAATATAGTATATGAGAAAGTGTTTATTAATTTTTCCTTAAAGTCTATATTAACAATTTTTAAGTACATAATCACACATGCATATACATTTTATACTCGAGTTTAACTACTTTGTTTCAAAGTTCCATCATGCATTTCCCATGTTTTTTAATGATCAGGCTTTTTAATTATTTTTTCAATGATTTCAATTTTAAAAGTTGAAGAGAAGGGAAAGTTTTATCGTTTTCAAAGCCGCCCCCCGAGGCGGTAAAAACTGACGACAATATTTATATATTTTTTATTTTTTGAATCAATTTAAATATACCTAAATACTAACTCTTGAAAGTTGAAACCGCTGTACACTAATGTTTAGTCCTCAAAAATAGTATTTTGTTTCTCTTAAATTTTACCGTTCGCAAATTTTAGAACAAATTAAGATTCATTCATAAACTAAAAATGCAAAGAAGTATATGATGGATCCAAAATTTCAGTTAAAGGCATTGATTGATAGTTTTTTTTTTTCGATAAACATGTGAATATATGATAGAAAAAAATCTCTATTTAAGATAAACAATGATAATAATAATAATTAATAAGATCCTCCGAATTGGGATATACTTATTTAAGGTTTGAATTTTAATT